CATCCATCCCTCCATCCATCTCTCCATGTGTGTCCAGTTCAGGGGTGGTGTCAAGCAGCAGTGTCAGGCACAAAGGGCTGGTGGGGTACTGGGAGCTGCTAAGCCCATTACTGATTTTGAGATCCTGATCCCACTGAAATCATTGCCAAATCCGTCGATGACAGTGGCATTTCAGTGTTCTAAGCTGATGAACCAATTGTTTGGGTTAGCATATGTCAAACACCACCTCTGGTAGCTTTCCTCTTGGCTTCAGCTTCTTTGCAGCAATCCAAGCTTGTTACACTGAACCTTTCTAAAAGGTAGATAAAACATGAGGGAGCTGCAGGCACTACTGCAGCTGATGGTCCCAGCTGGACTGCAGAGCATAGGAGAGGAGCCAGACAGTCCCACCAGACTGAGCTGAATTTGGATGAGCCTCCTGCAGCTGAAAGCAAAATTTTAACCCAAATTGTCAAAAGCTGTAGTGCTGAGGCACCAGAGTAGTTAGACTTCTTGTATCTGGAAGAGAGGAATGGGCAGTGCAAGCTCCCAGTGGAATAAATAATCCAATCCAAATTTGAGGTAAAGTGGGTGCTGGATTGAACCCAGCACAATGGTGTGAGCAATGGGAATGAAAGATATCCTTGTCAGTTTAGGCTGACAGTTTTGCAGCTCTGCATTAAATTCCAGAATGACTTAATTTACATATGTAGTTATTTGACTTATTCTCCCATTCTTTACACATGGTCACTATGATTTGGCCTCTTAGTAGAGCAAGTGGGTGAAGCTCAGGTCTAGAAAGACTTGACTGTGTTTTCATTTCCTTTTTCCTGTCCTGTCTTATCGTTTGATGGCCTTTTGTCCCTTATGTGTGTCTGTGACTTCATGTCCATCCCATTGTTAGTCTTGCACTGGAAGGCAGTACCTTAAAAAGAGAAAGCAAGAAGGAAGTTAAAATAAATGTTGATATACTTTTGTGCAACTTTGTACCTGTTACTTTGTTTAGTGACTTAAAAGACCATGTTTGTCTAGAATAGACTGACATTTTTGTGTATTATAAAGGAATAGGAGAGTTGGCTTGTTTCAGAATATGTACTCTGTTAATCTTTGACTAAATTTCTTCTACCAGTTTGATGCCTATAAATGATTTTCTTTGCTAGCTAGTTTACATGAAGTTTTATATGTATTTACATAAAAGCTTAATCAGTGAGCAGCAAACCAAGTTGGTTCCAAAACTGGTAAGAGAATGTTACTGAAGGATTTAGAGAATCTCTTTAGAAATGGATATTTGTGAAAAAAAAACAAAACAACTGCCTCTAATAGTAGAAGAGAAACTTAAAAAGATGTTTTCAAATGTACTTTTCTTGTAGGCTTAGGTATTCATTATTAAAATTGCATGGGGACTTATGGCTTCTTTAATGAACATGGTGAATTTTAATTTACTGAGAGGTTTTTTTTCCTGATTATCTAGCTGAGCTGATTGTCCCCATGTACATTACTGGATTTTAAATTTTCTGTAATTCATTGACTACTGAATCTAGGTATCAACAACAGAAGTTTAAATCCTGTTAGCTTACTTTTCATTAGTGCAAAACATGCTGTAACAGAGGATACTGTTGGCATTGCACTGTAGACTCTTTTCATCTGACAACTTGATCCTCCCACTGAGGTGAGTGTGGAATACTCACAGGTGTTAGCCCTTAGTATACAACCTAATGCTTGTGGGAACTATCTCAGAGACAGTAGAGCAGAATTTTGTCTAAGATAGCAAAGTACTCTTGCATTGTGGATGCTTTAGTATCATTTTCTGTTAAGTGCATTGAACTTACTGCTGCTCTTCTGCTATTTAGCAGCCTTACTGCCAGCTTATTCTCTAACTGCTGTAAACCAGTGGTTCTCAAATTGTGCCCTGTGGATCCCTGGGGATTGGCAGTGCAGTTGCTGGTGATCCACAGGAGCCTCTGAGCTAGCAGGTCCTGGCTGTCCTCCAAGTCCCCATCCAGGTGTTCCTCTGGTCAGAAGCAGTGGAGTGGGGACAGCCTTGGTGCCTGTGGGCAGTGGAGTATCTGCTGAGCTCCTCTTCACGCAGTGGAAGTGTTTGAGAACCCTGGCATTGAGCATTTGAGTTGCTTATGTTTAAACTGTGTTGCTGCTCCTTAATCATGCATGTTGCCCCTCCATTTCTGTGCAGATTGCAGCCCCACTCTGGAAGAATCTGGCCCAGGTATGTTCATTCATGGCTTCTGCTTCTTCTGAAAATGGCAGGGGGTTGTTCACAGTCCACTGAACAAGTGTCTTGTTGTGATGAACCATTCTGAAATGGTAATGCTCTGCATCACCACGTGGGTTACCGAAACTGTTGAGAAGTTATTGCTTCCTAAGAGTGCAGAGGGTGTCTGGTAACTTCTCCTGGCCAGGTATGAGACAACACTTGTTCATGGTGTCTTTGTTTTCTCCAGCTGATGTGGTTCAGCAAACTGGTGTAGGTGACCATGGTTTGTTCCAAATGCCACCAAAGTCTGTGGGAGTCTGACATTTCAGAGTTTTCAGACATGCCCTTTCACACGTGCTGCTGAGCTGGCCTTTCTAGTGAGAACTCCAGCACAGCATGGAACAGTCAACAAAGCTGATGGAAGATCTCTGTTGTGGGTACACACCGAGCAGTGTTGGCCATTGCAAATCTAATGTTTCAGAATACTGAATTTAGGAGTCTCATCCCACTGTTAGCCTTCTTTCTTCTGTCCTTGTACTTCCAGGTATCTGTGCTGCATTTACAAGGTCTGAACAATATTCCTCTTCAATACCACTCTCTCCCAGGCAGGTGGCTGTAGTTTCTTCCATTGGAGAGTAGTTTAATCTGAGTTCAGTGAAGGTTCAGTCTTTGTTCCAGTGTGGGCTCCTGGGTTTGGTATAGGCAGTAGGAAATAAAGCCCCAGTGCAGATATGATTTTCATCTTCACAAAGTGTATTGATGTTGTCCTCAGCTATCCACCCTGTTTCCTTCTATCACTTGTAAAAGATTTTTAATCATTAAAAGACTGAAAGTTTTTAATTCTTGGAGCATCCCTTTAGTTTTTGCAAAGCCTGAATGTGGTACCTAAATAGGTGGTATGTAGTTATTTTTAAGATGGGAGTAATTAAAAGCAATCAGGCCACCCCAACTGGGTACCCAGATATACCCAGATCTCTGTGTTAAACTTCAGTGGCTGAAGCTGCAGTGTAATGGAGCACTTAAGTGCTTCCTTTAGTGGGTTGCCAGCTATACTTTACTGGATGAGAGCTAAGTAACTACTACTTACTAACAAATCTCTCTTTTAGAGCTCATGAGTCATTGTAACCTAAACCAAGGGTGACTCCGGGTGCTCAGTACTTTGATTTATGGATGCTAGAGGGGTTTTTTAATATGAAAAGACTACAAATATCTTTTCAAGGCTGTGGAAGACAGCTGTTTTAATAATATTTTTATTGCACTGGAGAGGAGAGACTCTTAGGGAGAAAAAAGCAAGAACTTTTCCCACCTGGCAGTACATCCTGCAAAACTTACGTATTTGGTTCTCTTAATAAGACACTGGTTTTTTAAAAAACAACCAGTAGCATATAGTCAGAGTTTTGTCATTCTTGTTTGTTTATAGAAAAGCTCTGAAATGCAGCAAGAGAAACACTGTTAGTATCATCTGTATTTTGCTTTCTAAGTGTTCACAGGGCCATGTTATGGCATCTGACTGAGTTTGAGAGAAAATACTTAATAGACTCTAAAAGACAAGCTGTAATTCCTTGCCTGTTCTTTTGATGTTTCCTGGTTGTTGGGGTTTTTTTAATGGCTATGGAATAGAGCCAAACAAATTCCCCTTTGTGTATTTTATTAGGTTGACTATCTACCACATAGAGCAAAAGCAAAAAGGATAGTTCTGTTAATCTTGCCTGTGTTTCTGTCAGCAGTTCCCCTCTTTGGCTGGTAATCAAAGAAACATTTTTTATTACTAACTCTTACTTCTGCCTTTGAGTCAAGATCCCAAAAAACTTCTTTCCAGGGACTTGAAGTGTCCAATTCATGAAGGTTCTGATCTGTACATTGCCTTGTTCCTGCAGCCAACTGGGCTGGGGTTTGTGTGTTTTCTGTTTGTGAGCTCTGGTGCTTTGTGAAAACAGGACACATTGTCCTCCTGTTTATAAAGAGAAGTGTTCTGTTTCAGCCTTACATTAAGGAGGGGAAAACCAAAGCCAAGTTCTATTTTCTTTTGATATCACAGAGAGAAAGGATTTTGGTATAGCAGCCAAATAATTTTTCATAAAGTCATGGAAATGTCTGAGACTTTTAAATTAGTGGTTGCTTAAGACAAAAGATGAAAGAAGGAAAGAAAAGAAATGGAGCTTGTTGGGTACTTTAAGGCCAAACAGTCTCGGAGAAGAGGAGGCTCAGGGGAGACCTCATCACCCTCTGCAACTCCCTGACAGGAGGTTGGAGTCAGGTGGGGGTTGGTCTCTTCTCCCAGGCAACCAGCAGCAGGACAAGAGGGCACAGACTCAAGCTCTGCCAGGGGAGGGTTAGGTTGGAGATTAGGAAGAGATTTTTTGCAGAGAGAGTGCTCAGGCATTGGAATGTGCTGCCCAGGGAGGTGGTGGATTCCCCATCCCTGGAGGTTTTCAAGCTGAGACTGATGTGGCACTTGGTGCCATGGGCTAGTGACCACGATAGGGTTGGACTGGATGATCTTGGAGGTCTTTTCCAACCTGGTTGATTCTATGATTCTATGACCTTGAACAGAATCCCTCTGGGTCATATCTTGTGTATTTCAGTGGATGAACAGAATCCCTTTGGGTCATATCTTGTGTATTTCAGTGGAAGTTAAGCTCCAAAGGACTTCCCAGGATCTGGATGGCTCCAATCTAAATCACTATATTTAGTGTTTCTTGCTAGCTGTCTTTAAAACTAATCAGGAGCCAAAAAAAAAACTCTTAGAGTATCCACATGAATTTTTCACCTCTTGGCCTTGGATCAATAAGATTATGAGGCAGTTGAATTATATGCCTATGAGCCCATAAAAGATCCAAAGTCAAGATATTTAGGAGAAATCTCATAGAGAGAAATGGCTAAGCAAATATTCACAGTTTCTGCATGCTGCTGTCCATGTATGCACTGTCAAAGGGTGTGTTTGAACATGCACATGCAGTTATATATACTTGTGTCTATAGATATTCATATTCTGTTATGATTTCCAAATCAGCTACTCTATGATCTGTTCTGTGGGCACAAGTCTGTGACCTTTTACATGATCTGGAAAGTCATAACACACTCACAGGGTAAAATTCTCCAGATTTTCTACATGCAAGAACCAGTCTGTAAGATTGGTCAAGCAGGGAATAACCACCCAGCCAAAATAAAATGAACTCTAAATGTGAACGATCAACAACTTGGACTTGCAACACGACGTTTCTTTATAATGTGTGTGTTTGTTTCTAACAAAGTGCTTCCAGTGCTGCTAATTTCTTTTGCTTTCACCCAGGTGAATGGAGTGAAGCTCTTTATCCGTTGCTGACCACACTCACCGACTGTGTAGCCATGATGAGTGACAAGGCAAAGAAAGCCATGGTCTTCTTACTGATGCAGGACAGTGCCCCAACAATAGGGCTCTGCCTCAGCCTGCAGTATCGCAGGGACGTTGTCTTCTGCCAAACTGTAAGCAAGCAAAGATGCATGATTTGACTGCACTTCCTCATGGGGTGGGGTTTATATGAAATATTGCTGTTTTCAGAAGTTTTCAGATCTCTTCTCAGGTCTGACACTGTGGTTTCCCCTCAGAAGCTGTGCTATCCTGTCCTCACTGGTCACTTCCATACATCTGATAAAATATAAATGAGGTGTCTCCTTGGATAGACATTCACTATCTAGGAAAAAATATTCCAGAACTAGTGAAAATATATTGCTGTCTACAGAAACGACCTTTGCCTTCCCATGCCACCAAACTAAAAGCAGAGGAAAGGTGTGAAAGAGGGGGACAAAAAAGCCCATGAGCAGAAAGTGTACTCCCTCAGTTACCTTCTGTTGTTTGCTGCATGAAGAAACCCAACAGGACATGTGGTACCTGAGGACAGAAGTCCAGCTACAGGGAAAGAAATGAGTTCTGGGTTTTTTTTTCCTAAGAGTTGTATTTCTAGGCATTGAGAGATCTCTTGTGTCAGGCACTGACTAGCAGGTGTCTGCACCAAAAAAACTTCCCTGTTTCTTGAGCCCACTACACTTCTGTAGTGTGTCTGCTTCCCCATGAAATCAGTATCCTGTTCATTCAAAACAGCTTATCTCTTGGACATCATTTGGTAGGGACTTTGTCCCAAAGTGAAATATCGAAAATGTAGAACAAGTGATAGGACTAGAGGAAACGGCCTCAGGTTGTGCCAGAGGAGGTTTAGATTAGATATTAGGAAAAATTTCTTGACTGAAAGTGTTGTCAAGCACTGGAACAGGATGCCCAGGAAAGTGGGGGAGTCACCATCCCTGGAAGTGTTCAAAAAACATATGGATGTGGCACCTGAGGACTTGGTTTAGTGATAGTGGTGCTAGGTTGACAGTTAGACTCGGTGATCTAAGAGGCTTTTTCCAACCTTAACAATTATTTGATTCCATGATCTTATAGAGATAAAATCAGGGATTTTTTTCTGTGTAAAACCCATGTCATATTGCAGATAATTTTTATACTCAGTGCTTTGAATGTGTTTGCCCATCAGGATCAGAACTCAATTCCCTTCCCTTTAACTCTCTTACCAAGTCATACACCTGTGTACATAGCATATGACATTCACCTGGGAAATTCCTTTGTTGACAGAGTGAGTTAAGACTAGTAGTAATCCTAGATCATAGTACTAATCTTAGTACTAGGTTTTCAGGCCCTTCTTCTGAATATCTTTTAACACTGGAGTTTGCATATGCATAATGCAAACAGTGTATTTTTAAGCTTTCTCAGAGGTTGTTTTTTAAAAAACAATCATTTATTCATACCATTAAAATTCATGGTCTGGAACTAGCTGTGTTGCTTTTCCATCTGAAATGAAAACATTTTCCCAAGGAGAGTCTTTTGTAACTCATAAACTGTAGACCCTACCACGAGTTGGTCATGTCTGAAAACAAATAGATGCAAGACCAACAGATCCAACCTCCCATTTTGGGAGAGGAAGGCAATGTGCCCTGAATCTGATTTTCTGAATGTTTTGGGGTTTTGTTGGTTAGTTGTCTGTTCAGCTGCAAGGAAAAGAAGAGTGACATTTGAGGGAAAAGAGCATCTGTCTGACAGATTTTATGGCATCTCTTATACTGCTACTGGTTTTGTTTGTGGCTGAAGAGCCTTTTTTATCTTGAATCATTTCATTCTTGTCTGTTTTCTCTCTCACAGCTGACAGCTCTCATTTGTGGTTTCATTATCAAGCTGAGGAACTGCCTGCATGATGATGGATTTCTAAGACAACTCTACACCATTGGCTTGCTGGCACAGTTTGAGAGCCTGCTGAGCACTTATGGTAGGGCATGGGGCCAATGGGTGGGATTAGCTGTTGAGTCAGCAAATTCTGCATTCAATTGGCCACAGCAGAATGTGAGTGTTTGGGACAATCTGCAGCTGAGCTGTAAATTGAAATGCAAAACTAGATTTGGAGTACTTAATTAGCTAACAACTCTGAATTTCTTTGCATTTATTTGAATTTCTTCTAAAAGATGAAGTGTATTTATTTTATAATATAATGTCAAAGCTTTAAGAAAGACTAAAATGTGTCACAGTGATGGGTTTTTTTTTCAGAAAATAAATAGATTAAAGTTCTGGTTAACTGGGAGAAAATGTGCCCAAAATATGTTTTTTTGAATATTCTCGACCTTCTGTAGTCTGACAGTACAAAGTGAGATTGAAGAGAGAATGCCAAACAGGAAAGTACTTCACATGAATGTGTTTCACTCCTGTGTCTGAACAGCCATCTGGGTGCCAGTTAGGGAATGTTTTACCAAAAAAATGCAGAATACCTTGTAGCTTTTCCAACACAAAGGACATCACAGCTCTGACAATGCTGAGAAGTACTTACCAGCATCGTCTAAATTGGAAAATCAGCAAATAAGCTACTTGAGGAATTGTAGTCTGGACTGTGCTAGATAACTTCTGGTTTCCAAACTTGCAAAACTCACAAAGTAAGTCATGACATTGTCTGCAGTCTGTAGGTCAAGGGAGAGGCCTGGATGGCAGAACCTCTTCATCCATGGAACTTCTGTATGAGAACAATGACCTACTGTCGGCGTCGAATTGAGAAAGGGATGTTGTACCTAACGAGCAATGATTATGATTCACTTTTCCCTCTTTGTTTTAGGTGAGGAGCTGGCAATGCTGGAGGACATGAGTTTGGGAATCATGGACTTGAGGAATGTAACCTTTAAAGTAACTCAGGCTACATCAAATACATCCACTGACATGCTGCCAGTCATCACTGGGAATCGGTAAAAAATGGAGCCAAATATACTTTGGCAGAGAAGGGACATGCTGAAATTTGACTTTTTCTACCCAAGTTGCAGTATTAATGAGCAGAGCAAAATCAGCTTTTGTTAGGAAATTGGCAGATCTCATGTAAATGTCCATGAGGATGTAAAATCAACGCCAGGGTTGGTGCAAGTTTGGTTTCGAGCTAGAATAGGTTTTCTGATTAATACAAGTTGTGGCAGTTCCTTAAAGTCAGTTTCGACCGATCCCTACTTTTTAATAGCTGTATTATGTTCTAGATGTTATCCCTCTGTACATAATAGCATGTTCTCAGAGCATAGCTCTTTGTCTGACAGCAGTTTGTTTCTTTGCAGTGATGGATTTAACGTGAGGATCCCTCTGCCAAGCGCCTTGTTTGACTTGTTGCCACGGGAGATTCAAAGTGGCATGTTGCTGAGGGTTCAGCCTGTTCTGTTCAACGTGGGAATCAATGAGCAGCAAACCCTAGCAGAGAAGTATGTACTGAGCCATGCAGGCTCAGCCCTAATGGCAGTGCAGCAAGGGAACTGTGTCTGTGTGGGGCTGCACTGTTGTACTACTAACAGAGATTCAGTTTCTCCAATATACAAACAAGGGAATGCTAAATGCAGGTATCAAATGCCAAGCAAACAAAAGGAGGTCCTTCTTCATGTGCCACATAGCTGTGAAGCTCCTTACCTTCTGGGTTTGAGACTAATGCAGGTTTATGTGGTTCAGAAGTCAATTTACAGATGAGGAAATCTGTCCTGGGCTGTTTAACACAGAGGTGCTGCTTGTGACTCAAGACCTTTGTGAGTGACAGATCACTAGAGGCTGAGAGGTCACTCTGAGTGTTGCTGTGTATTGGCTCTCTTGGTTTTGCACTCTCTCCTAGACTCCCTCTCCTGGTCACTGTCAAAGACGAGGATAATGAGCAGATGGACCTTTGTTTGAAGATACCCTGGCAGTATTTATGTAATACAACACTTCTCTTGAAAAGCTGAAAAATATATCATTATATTTGCTAGGGAAGCTGTTGGGTTTCAGAAGAGTCACTAGAGCTTCCCTCTCTTATGGCCATATCCTGCACAGAATATACTGACAGAGCACTGCTCCAACGGAGACCTCCAGCAAGGTCAGGCACATGCATGTGGTGCCAGCAGCCTGGCTGGAGTGTGCACTGTGGTGGTGAACAGCTAGAAAAAGTCTAACAAAAGCATTCCAGCAGTTACTGCTGTCCTCTGGTGCCTACAAAGGGAGCCCAAGGTGACTATAGCTAGTTAGAGATGTCAGCACTCTGTGTATCTGTGTATGTAGATATAGTTAGATGACATGAATCAAGGCATTGTTGAGAATATTTATTACATTCATGGTTTATTACTCCTCATTTACATATCTGAACTCAGCACTCTCAGTCCTATCTACTGATGTGATGGTTATTATTAGTTTATGAACTAAACTAGTAAATCCATTATTAAAAGTTTCAATTTAAGTGAAATAATTTGCCAGGTGGGTATTTAGTGTTGAAAGTGAGACACAAATGCCAAAGAACTTTAAACACTATTTTCCACGAGATCTTTTCTTTACCTTCTTTCCCTTTTTTCCCATCACACTCACATATTTTCTTTTTCTGTAATGAACCATTACAACACTTTTCTGTTAGACTTCACTCTGCACTTGAATGGTTAGGAATTCATGGGATGAATCTTTAAACTGCTTTCTGGTCCTCATTTTGTGAAGTGCAGTTGTTTCAAAGAAGAGTAACCTTTTAGCTTGGGCTTTAATTGTTCCTTTCTTCCCCTTTTGTGAAGGTTTGGGGACACCTCACTGCAAGAAATAATTAACATGGAAAGCTTAGTGCGGTTGAATTCATATTTCGAGCAGTTCAAGGAAGTTTTGCCTGATGATTGTAAGTATTGAGTAACCAGTGACAAATCTGGTTGAACAGCACAATTCAGGCTGTTGTTTTCATTTGTTTGCTTTATGTTAATTGTTTAAACGTTGATGATATGGCAGCATTTGTAACTTCTAAGAAATGGTGCAACTCTATTTTTTGGTGTAATACTTTAGTAGTAAGTAGAGCAGATTCAAGAGGTTTAAAGGTCAAACTGCTTAACTTTCCTTTTTAATTTCCATCTCTTTCTAAGTGGCATTATGTAGTGTATAATCATGCAGTTAGGCAGCTAAATTGCTGTGAGGAGAAGGTATAAAAATGACAGGTTATAGCAGCAACACTTCTGTGTGTAGTTTTTGGTAACTTTCTCGGCACTTTTGATAACCTGCACAGAGAGCAACTGCCAGTGTGTTGGGAATCAGTCACTTTTCCACTGTGCTTATCCTTTGGCACTTTGCTGTGATTGTTGCATCTGCAGCCAGCCAGAGAACCCTGAAGAGAGACAACAGCTGCAAGTTTGAATTTTACTGGTTCTTTCTAGAGGGAGCAATCATAAGCTGAGACAGTGGAGATTCAGATTAATGTTGGGAAGAATTTTTTCCCTGTGAGGATGTTCAGGCACTGGAATATTGCCCAGGGAGGTGATGCAGTCACCATCCCTGGAAGTGTTTGAGAGGCATCTGGATCTGACACTGGAGGATATAGTTTAGGGTTTAGGGGTTCCAGCAGTGACAGGTTAATGGTTGAACTCAATGGTCTTAGAGGTCTCCTCCAACCTTGATGATTCTATACTATACCAATCTTGCTTTCTTTCTTCATTCTGTTATTACATTAGGATTAGATTCTGAGTCCCTGAAGTTTTTAATAGCCTAAATTTATATTTCCAGTTGAGTTAAACTTGAATTTATTTTGGTGATGGTACTAAGTTAATTAAGAACTCGATTAATTGTTTTAAGCTTTGTCAGTTTCAAGAAAACACTGTGTTGGCAACAGGCAGGTAGGGTCATTTGTCTTTTTAAAAATCTGTTGAATACAGATAAATGAGTTGGTTTTGTTTGTTTTATAGGTCTACCTCGATCTCGTAGTCAGACGTGCCTGCCTGAACTGTTAAGATTTCTGGGACAAAATGTACATGCAAGGAAAAACAAGAATGTTGATATCCTTTGGCAAGCTGCTGAGGTATTTATTCATCTAAGCACCTCTGCACAGTTCAGCTGATTTTCTTTATGCATATGTATTCTCCCCTTTTTTTGTTACCAATATGTTTGAGTCTCTTCATTGCTTGTATGGAGTTTGGAAATGTTGCCAGGTTAAAGCTCCTCTAGAATGAGACATGAGGAGTTAAAATGTATTTTCCACATCAGAATTTTCCCTATAACTTGGGCAATGAAGTTCTGCTCTCCTAAAGATGACAAATTTTGACATCAAGGTCACAGAATAATCAGAGTTGGAAGGGACCATGAGGATCATCTGGTCCAACTCCTGCCCTGCACAGACATCCCTGACAATCACACCCTGTGCTGAGAGCATTGGCCAAACACCTCTGGAGCTCTGTCAGCCTTGGGGCTGTGACACTGCCCTGGGAGCTGTTCAGTGCCAGAGGCTGTTCCTGCACAGCATTAGTGTCTCTCTGAGGAGAAGCACAGATGTGTTCTCTGACAGAAAGTCATGCACATGGAAGGAATGATGGGCTGTGTTTCCTGTTTCTAGATATGTCGCAGACTGAACGGAGTTCGATTTACAAGCTGTAAAAGTGCCAAGGATAGGACTGCCATGTCAGTCACCCTGGAGCAGTGTTTGATCCTGCAGCATGAACATGGAATGGCTCCACAGGTCTTCACCCAGGCCCTGGAGTGCATGAGGAGGTAAGAGTTTGACTGCATCACTTATTCCTAAAAGAGGAACCATGCAAACTGCAGAGGAGCAGTGGTCTCTGTTTCTATCAAAAGAAAAAATAAACTAAAGTCAGGAAGCTGTAGGACTGACTGCTAGAATTCATCCCTCCCATGCATGTGAGTTGCATATGCTAAAGCTGGTCCTTCCCAGCTTTGGGTCAGGTGGGCTTGACTTTCCAGTGGCCAGTGAGGAGTTTTCAGGGAAGCATGTGAAATGTGTCTCGGTGTATGTGAGCTTACAGAACAGGAAACTGCTGCTTCTTTGAAAGTTGTTCCATGGTGGAGTAACCTGAACTGCCATAGCACTGGGTTTCTGAGTTCTAGATCAGGCAGATTACTCAGGGATGAGCTGTCTTTTGCTCTTTGAAACACAGACACCTGCAGTTTGCACTGGTTTGCCCCTGTATTCTCTAGCAGTGAAACACTGCTCACTGGGTGACCTGTCAGTATGAGTGTTTCACACTGCAGCAACCAAATGTCATCACGACGTGTCAGTGTGCTTTGTCCTACCAATATAATGATGTTCTGTATTCTGAAGCAGCAGAGATGTTTGCAGAATCCAATACTGTACTTAAGAAACAAATAAACCTGTTTACTGTTGTTCAATGCCTTGTTTCAAGCACTGCTGGAAAACTCCGTAAGTCACATACCAAAAGAAAGGATAAGAAATCAAGCTTTAGTCTTTATCAATGTAGTTCAACAATGCTGTTCAGTCCTGTTTTTCAACATTCACTCTTACTGAATGTACTGTACTGTGTGTCTTTTCACCAAATTCTTTAGAGTGTTCAATTCTCTTATCCTTTCTGTATGTTTTTGCTGTTTGACCCTTTCTTACTCTTCAGTTACCTAGAAGAGAAAAGTCTCATATAATAACAATTTCAGCCTCTTACACTAATAATTTGAGGTCTTACATCCACATCCATTTGGATGTCACTGGACTTGATTTTCACTTTTTTCCTGCACTGTTGGTGCATTGTTACAGAGTTAGTACTATACATGAAAACTGCACTCAGAGACTAATTAAACCTGGATATTAGAAACAAAACTTGAAACACCTTTGTCAGGAAAAAGTTATTAACTTAAAATAGAGCTAAATGGCTCTCAAAGATCTTTATTTAAATTATGCAACTTGTCTGAAATAAAAAAAAGGCTTTGTTGCACATTTGTTTATTTAGTAAGAATAAAAACAACTAGAAAAAATGCTAAGAATTTTTTTACTTTCTTCAAATTAATTACAGGTCACTGTTTTGTTTTTTTTTTTAATGCAGTTGTGGACACAGGAGAGAGAGCAAGAGCTTGATAAGAACATTATTTTTGTCCTTCAGACTACCCATTTAATATAACAGGATCATATAAAATATTGAGTCAAGAAACATATTGCTTTATGGTGATATGAGGGAGATTGAAAGAGAGCCAATTTAATCAAAACCTTTGGCTTGTGTGTTCTGTCAGCATCAGGGACTTGCTCTGACATGTGAAAGATGTGACTTTCTCTTCTGTTAAATCTTTGAGTAAGAGAAATTGTGCAGAACAAATACTGACTAGTCCCGAAGGAACCCCAAGATTAGACTATTCTTCAAGCCCATCACTCTTTCTTCCTCACATCTCATTGCTCTTTGGGATATGTGGGTGTGTCTCTCAAATTATTTGCCAATTCTGCTCAGGAACAATGGCACAGAATTAGCAAAATTTAACAAGAGAGGTAGGATTAGGCAACAAATATTTAGGAGTCCAACTCCACCCAATCCACTTCAGCCTGGGCAGGTTGACCTGATCTAGATGACAGAAGAAGTGAAAGGGCAGCAAATTACTTCCAGGGCATTCAGAAAACCTGGGTATTTTTCTTCTAGCTAGGATCTTTTATTAGAGTAACAGCACTTGAAAAAAAATGTTTGGTTCAGTCTGGAAGACTTCTGAAATTTCTGGGGCAGTTGGAAGGACAGGGAAGAAGTACTGTTAAGTTTTGAGGCTCAAAATGCTCAAAATATGTCATTTCTTCTCTACTGGTAACTTCACAGCTAAGGAAAGCATCCTTAGTTCTCAAAAAAATTAAGCATTTTCTTCTTCCATCTTATATTGGTCTTCAGAGGTATAAGTCCCCACTTGACCTCAGGGACTTCCCTTCCTTCCTAGTCTTATGATAGTTATGTATCTGTGATAATTCTGTTCAGTGAGTATGGACATCAGGGAGTCCATGAGAACACAGAGTGCTCATTGTGTGCTCTTGTAGAAATTCACAGATACAAGTTTGTGTCTCTTACCTTAGAAACCAATATCCTATTAGAATCAACTCATTTTTCTGTAAAAATAAATTACAGCTTTTCCAGTCCTAAATCAAATATATGGTAACTCAGAGCCTACAAAGAGTAAAACCATGATGATGTGTCTGGAAGTCCAAGCTGCAGAGGAAATGCTGCCTGGCAAGTAAAGGCAGATCAAGAGTCAAAGAGGCTCATGTAGCCTCTTCTGTCTGCAGCCAACACTCCTCACTAGACCTGTGACTCCCTCCCACCCTCAGATTTCTGTCCTGTCAGAAATGCTAGTGGAGTGAATATGCTCTAAGGCAGTTTCAGTCAGAATCACTCTGGGTAGCAAACTCCTTTCCATGTTTCAGGTAGCCCAGGGTGTTTTCATTGCACCAGTTGGGAAGCTGCAGCACAAGCAGTTTAGCCAACAGGGAAGAGCTTTCTCTGATCAAGACTCTTGAAAAGCAGCTGGAAATGGAGTGAGGGGATTTATCTCTTCTTGCTGCCATGGTGCTGATTAAAAAGAGTACATAATAAATTCCTGGGAGTCATGTTTGGATACAACCACTCCCTGCAATAAACCAGCCATGATAAAAAGCTTGGTTAGATCTCTTCATTGATTGACCTGCTTTAAGAACAAAATTCTGTCCAGTTGACTGTGGCTACCTGCCAGATGCCCACACAGCTGCTCACTGACTACCTCCCCTTAACAGGACAAGGGGAGAAAATATGTGAAAAAGCTCATGGCTTGAGATAAAGACAGAGATATCCCTTGGAAGTTAATGTGACAGGCAAACTAGACACAACTTAGAGAAAATTAATTTATTGCCAGTGGATTAAGGATGGTAAGAAACAAAGACAATAAAAAATCTTACCCTCCACAACCCCTTTAGTCCCAGGTCCAAGTGCTCCACTCCTTCATCCTCAACTCCTCTACCTCCTCCCCATGCTGAGCAGTGCACGGAGGATGTGGAATGGGAGTTTGTGGTCAGTCCATAACAGTTCTTCTCTGCTGCTTCTTCCTCCTTGCACTCTTCCTCCACTCCAGCATGGATCCTTCCCATGGTCTGCAGTGCTTTAGGATAAACCTGCTCCTGCATGGGTTCCCACAGGCTCCAGTTTCCTTCAGGAAATACCTCCTCTCCTATGGCTCCTCCATGGGCTGCAGTGTGGACAGTGATCTCCACAGCTGCAGGGCAAAACCTACTTCAGCTCTTCCTGCCCTGCTTCCCTGACTCTGGTGCTCACAGGGCTGTTTCTCACATCTTTTCCTGTTGTCCTTCACTGCCATGCAGTGTTCTGCCTTTCCTTATGACTCTTTACCCAAGGCTCCAGCCTGGCTGAGGGCTCAGCTGTGCCTGCAGTGAGTCCACCAGAGCCAGCTGGACACAGCAGTGTCCAGCATGGGCAGCCCTGGCCTCTCTCACACAGAGGATTCCCATATGAAAGCTAAATTTACTTTGTCTCTCTACCCTAGTCCTCTCCTAGAGCTATTCTGCTGATACGTGGTTTGATTTAAGCCACTGCACAATTTGGGATGTTTGGTATTTCCTTAAGGTGACTTTTCACCCCTTGGGTAGAAGCATCTACATGGGCCAACAATGACAAGGAAAGCCCTTTCCAGCTCTTGCCTCCATTCCCACTGTGTCTGTGCACATGTCTGTGTAAAATTGAGTAGCTTGATACTGATTTTTAATGGTGGAGATGCAGCATGGGATGTTCATAGCATCGCCTTGTCATTTTGAGCCTTCCTTCTTCTCTTCTCCCATTGATTTACTTTTTCATCTATATTCTAAAACACTTTTGAGGCTTTATTCACCACTTTCCAGGGCAAGGTTTCCACAGACTGATTCTCCTGGTCACACACACTCTGCTTCCCACTGCTGCAAAGACAACTGGGATTCGTAGGCATCACTGGTTTACTCTGCCCTTATCCAGTGTAGGCATCAGGAGTGAAAACATTTTGATCACCAATTTGGCTCTGTTAATCCAGACCAGAAATACAGTTCCCTGCCCATCTAATTCCATTTGACTTGAATTTAACCAGTATCTGAGGGCTGTTTTTCTCTTTCACCACCTCCAGGGTCTATCTGACTTCTTCCTGGGCATTGTCTGTTGGTTCCCTAAATTTGCTACACAACCGTCAGGGTTATGGATCACTTTTTATGGATGGAGGGAGTGCACTTGTCCTAACAGGATCAGGCTCAGAGGTTGCATTTAGATGTTGCTTTGTCAACTGAAAATAGACTTGACCTGCACAGGATATGAGTGATCCAAACTGAAAGGCTCAGGGTACCTGAAGAGATGTTCACTGCAGCCCTCGGTGCTCCGTGTAGAGAGCAGGAGCACCATGAGCTGAGCTTTGCAGCATGTCTTGCCTTCATGTGCATCTGTTGAGGCACAGCAGAACGTGCATTTTGAGAGGCATATTGCTACACACTTGAATTCTTGTGGAAGCAGAAAAAGAAGTGGGTGGTTTGGGGTTTTTGGGGGTTTTTTTTTGTTTTTTTTGTTTCCAGGTTGAGCAGGTAGTTCAGAGGTTCCATTAATTCACTACAGCCCACATGGAAAGAGGTTTGAAAGGGTCAAATACTACAATGGTTATTCATGTTCAGCTTGCTTTTCAGAGCTCCACTTTTGGCAGACGCCAAAGCATGGCAGAGCAGCATGGGGTGTTAGTGCTTGGTCATCTGAAAGAATGAACATGGAAAACCATTTATGGTCAACCTACATGTGTTTATTTCCACTAGGCTACAGTACTTCTTTCTTATTTTTCTCTTTTATTCTC